TTCGGGTCTGTCTTTCGGTTTTCCATTTCCCTTATACAGTGTTATGATAAGGCCTTTTTTTCCAATCATCAGGTATATGTTAAGAGTTAATGACAGCATTGTATAACTTCGACAAATGACTATATAGCACTTAAAGTGTTCATACATAATATTATCAATCCATCCAGCTTCGGTTAATATTAATTTACAACATATATTTTTGAGTTCACGCTCTGTAACATGGTCATCCAAATACTTATCCTTTCCATTGGGAAGCCCAATTTCAATGTCGCTAACACATTTTAATATCTCGCTCTGAAACCTGTTATCGAAACGATTGTCTGGCTTATCAGTAAATATATCTTCGAAATGGCATGCCCATTTTTCTACCATTTCGTTTGGATTCAACTCAGTTTGAGCATATTGTTTCTTTGGTGTTTTGCTCTTTAATAGTTGCCAAAATAATAGCTGGTCAATTTCTCCAGATTTATCTATCTCTGTAAACTGCGCTGTCGTGTATTTCTCAAACGCTTGTCTTAAGCCCCTTCTGAAATCAGTTTTAGCCTGCTTGTACTCTATGTAACTATCATTTAATACATCTCGTGGTTTCCCATCCCTCACCCATATCGCTCTGACTCCTGTTCATTCCAGTATGGCTTTAGATGCTTTTTAAATTTTACTTCAGGTATAGACTCTTTAGCCGAATTTAGTAATGCTGACAAATTTTCATTACTATACAGTCGAACCTCGTTATCTCGAACTCGTATAACTCGAAGACCCCGTTTAACTCGAAGTATTTCATCGGTCCCGGCCAAAACTCTTCTTAATCTCAGTAATAAAAACTCTGATAATTCGAAGTCTGAAAACTCGAAAAACTCGGATATTCCGAAGTGAAACATCGATCCCAACAACTAAAATCCTACATAAAAATATATCCTACCTCGAAGTTTCTTAAGATTCACAAGTCTATCATATATTCTTTAATTAGTTGATACGTGCTACGGTAAACATCGTTCTCATAGAGCAGCTTACGCTCGGTCATAATTACTTCGATTAAACTAATGGCATTAAAATGTGTTTGACTGTAAAAACACTTTGTACAAATAAAGAAACAAACTTTATCAATGTTGATTAACAACAATTAGTACTTACTGCGAGCCCGTAAACAATTTGAATAGCACTTAAAATCACAACCTAGGACTGGTTCGTTGGTTTATGTTTTTACAGGAGCTTGTATGGCACTGATAATTAATTGAGAGATTATAGGAACAATACGATAATTATTGTTGAGTACGTCGTGTTGAGGAGATGTCAAGTGTCATTGGGGTCTATAAATGTTGATATGTTTCCTGATTAACTCATACCAATTTTGGAATGTCGAAATCAACTGAGCATTCCAGCGTGTACGCTCCAATACAGTGATTTGTATAAAGACTTGCGCACTTTCATTTCCGCATTGAAATTTCTATCAGCATAGCACGAGGTCGGAGACAGCATGTGTGTTTATCGTAACATTAATCAATTAATGAATATGATTATGAATAAGTTAATTTTAATTTTATAGTTATCTTTTTGTCATTTATCGTCTGTTTAAATACGTTGATTGGCAGAGAAATCAATGACATATGTAGCCTCATATTGGACCAAACACTTTACCAAGCTGTATGCCAACCATAGGAACTCGCTAAACTCGAATACTCGGATAACTCGAAGTTTCGCAACGATCCCGTCGACTTCGAGATAACGAGGTTCGACTGTATATGTCTAGTACCTGGTTCGCGTATTTTGGACAATTATCGTACAGTGATAGTTTATACTTCTGTAACATTCCCTCTGACACAGCTTTCTTCCAATTAAACCTGACATTACATGATCTTATAGACTGGAGTAGATACGTTGTTACATTTAATGAACAAATTACAGGTAGGTGTTCCGACAGGTTTAACTCCGTGTCCTCTAATATACATATGTCGTTTACCAGGTCAAACATGCTCGATTCAACTATTACATGGTCAATGAGTGTACAATTTCCGGTTTGGGGAGAAATTGTATAAGAGGGACCACTGCATATATTTTGGACATTTGCAGACATTAAGTTAGACCTGTCTAAGAACTCCTGAATACATAGAGAACGAACATTTTCAGTAAATCACATCGCGGTCCTTATCCCCAAGAAAGATCACCTTCCCTCTCTCCGAGTAAACTGAATACAGGCATTCCAGCATATCTACATTATTACTGAACACACCGAACGCTATCAAAGATGCTGGCATATATACAGCAAAACAGAATATTGACAGGTCATCGGATATAACAATTTCAGCTCCTACTATCCTTGGGTTATCTACCTCAATTTCCTGTACGCGATAGCCGGCCTTTTTGAACAGGAGAGCAACCCCTCTTCGTACACTACATCTATACCTAAAAGGGTCTATTTCGTAAACAGGTTTTGCGAATACACTTTAACCCACAGATTCAAATGTATCAAAAAACGATAAGTTATGTTCCCTAATCCAATGCTCAGATATACCACAAATGTCAATGTCAAATTGTTCTAGACAGTGTATTAGGTAGGGAGTTCCCGCCATCAGCCCCTCAATGTTCCAACACATAAAATTAAGCTTGGTCATGTCTGTGCTCATCCAGAAATACTGCACGAGGAACCCATGGCCTCATACTTATGCCATCGGGCCAGAAGTGACTGCCAATAAGTATGTCAGCATCCTTCAATAGGATGCTTATCTGTGCAGAGGCTGTACTCTACCGTACCTCAGAAACGTAACACGCACATCAGAAGTCACGCATATGGCTGATGCGGAGGCTATATTCTTGTTGATGCCATAACTGTAAATTCGACTAATTCTACGCCTTGCTTGTGTCGTATAACCAACAAATTTCTCTGATAAACTGGAGTTGGATTTTGGTGTTAGATTACAAACTGATGTAGGACACGTGTATCCGCCTCTTGCATTCTTTTCCTTTATCCTTGACATCCTCTACGACATTGTCCGTTACATCGTTTTTGTTTACGCATTTCATTTATTTATATTTTTCTTGAAATTGATCCTTATACCAGAGACGTAATATATACGTCTCTGCTTATACATTTCCCAGTCATCTCACCTGAGGACATGGTTGATCTACACCAATCTACATACGACACCCAATGGACACAGAAGTGTGCGAGGACAAGATTCGGGCCTCAGTCAAACGGAAGTAGTCACTACGGTCCTAGGACATCTGGCGGAAGTGGGCGTGGTAGCCAGCATGTGAGGAAGGACATGGACTGAGGTCACAATTAAATGCTTCCGGGTTCAGTACCCGGGTTCAGTACCCACGAATGAAGTCCCTTAGAAATATAGGTACTTTAGTAAAAACTACACTATGCCTCTTAGAACTTGGTGTTTGTGTAAAAGTTTGGTGTTAAAATACCGTGGAGATATCAATCTAACAATTTCTGTGTCAAATTTTTATATTGTGCATTCATTTTTTGGTGCAGGGTGCTGTGTGAAAAGTCCTGTGTTGACCTCTACCCCTGACCCGGAAGTTTATTTTTGACATTGGTGACACATGCAGACGATTATCTCAAGAAAAAGGCCAACATGCTATGTTGAAATTTTGATATTTTACTCCCAAGATGTTGCTCTTGACCAGGTTAGATGGAAAGTTGGCTATCGGATATTAGGATTTTGTTATGAAAATAAATATTACAATGAAACACATAGTAAAATTAATTGTGGTCTTAGTCCACATTGGGGAGAGTGTAACGATCTCCATAATCTCATGGAATGTGTGTAGATCTCTCTCGGACAAACTTCATGATCAGGATTTTATTAATATATTAATTAATATGTGAGCATGATATCGTATGTCTATATGAATGTTGGATTAAGAAAGATGAAGATATACAGCTACAAGTCATGCAGTCGATAGAACTAATGGGAAAGGCGGGAGTATTGTGATTTTTTTTATAAAAATGAACTGAAAAAGTATTGTGATGTTGTTGCAAATGTAAATGATAGTATCGTAGTACTCAAAAAGCACGTGAATTATCAAAGATATTTACGTTTTTGTTAATTATTTTCCGCCAGTTAATAGTACTTATTATGATACGCATGATGTGGATCTTTTTGTAAAACTAGAAGAAAGCATTTCTGTATATAAGGACAAACCATGTAGAAGCATACTGGCTATAGGTGATTTTAACAGTCGAACTGGTGCAGCTGATGATTTCATTGACGCTGACCTACTGGGCAATGCATCAAGTAATATTTTATCCAACATTGTTAATTATTTGCCAGACAATAGTATGAATAAACGTAAAAGTATGGACAAGACTGTCAACCAATTTGGCCGGCAATATTTATCGATGTGCAAAAACACGGGTTTGAGAATTGTAAATGGAAGACATGTAGGCGATCCTTTAGGTAATACAACCTTTTATTGCGCAAGAGGATCCAGTCTGATAGACATGTATTAGCGCCAGAATCATATTTTAAAAGCATACAATGTTTAGAAACCGGTGTTTTTAATGTCTATTCAGACCACTGTCCGGTCACTTTTTCTATTGGTATTTATAAACGTAATGTGTGTAACGCGTCAAGTACTGAGAGTACTGTGAGACAGGATGTAAGTTTTTGTGAATGTGAAATGGGAGGATGAGAAGACAGAAGAAGTTGTGAGAGTTTTAGAGAATAATATTGATGATTTGCTGGACATTTGTGATGTTGGTGAGCTCAGTCATGATAATATAAATACGAGTGTTGATAAATTTACGTGTGAATTGAATAATTTAATTTACCTTTCTGTACAAAGAATATTATTCATAGTGGAGTGCAAAAGGTTGATACCAGGGAAGATAAACCCTGGTTTAATGTCAATTGTAAACGAAGGTATAGCGAATATAAAAACGCTCTTGTTATATTCAACAAATGTAAAAACGAAGAGGACCGTGTCTGTCTTATTAACAAGAAAAATATATACTTAAACAATATACTTAAAGCTGGTCATTTCCCGGAAGCATGGTCAAAAGGTAATATTGTGCCTGACTTTAAGAAGGGAGATGTCAACGATGTAAATAATTACAGAGGTATTACTCTTGTTAGCTGTTTGGGGAAAGTTTTCATGTCAATCATTAATAATAGACTTGTGGTATTTGACCAAAAATATAGTAAAATAACGGATGCTCAGTTTGGTTTTAAGAAAAACTTGTCTACTATTGACGCCATATTTGCTTTACAGTCTTTGATTAACCGCACTCTAAAACGTAAAAAAAAATGTATACTGTTGCTTTATTGATTATACAAAGGCTTTTGATTTCGTCAATAGACAAAACTTGTGGTTTAAATTGATAAAAGAAGGCATTGATGGGAGATTTTTAAAGCTCATAAGGTCATTGTATAGTAGTGTTAAATGTTGTGTTAAGCATAATGGTTCATTATCCAATTATTTCAATTGTGAAAATGGATAGTTTCAAGGTGAAATTTTATCACCATTATTGTTTTCATTATATGTTAATGATTGCGAAATGCAATTTTTAATTGACAACTGTCAGTCGATAGAAATTCAAACACTGATTTTTTTCCTTTTGATGTACGCTGACGATATGGTGATTTTTTCCGAAACGCCATGCAGAGGGTCTGCAAGATATGTTACACTCTTTAGAATCGTACACACAAAAATGGGATCTAACAGTCAATACGGATAAAACAAAAATTCTTGTGTTTCGAAATGGGGGTATTTTAAGAAATAATGAATGTTGGAAATACAACGGCCGTCAGCTAGAAATTGTAAATGAATTTAACTACCTAGGAATCCTACTAAATTACAATGGATCATTAAGAAAAACACAACAAAAAATTGCAGATTATGGAAGAAAGGCTTTGTTTTCAGTTATGAATGTATATCGGAAAAAATATTTTAATATTGAAAGTCAATTATCAGTTTTGGATTCGTATGTAAATAGCATTCTAAGCTACTGTTCTGAAATATGGGGCTTTCATAAAGCCCCAGATATTGAAAAATCATCCTTTGTTTTGTAAACGACTTGGCGTAAGAAAAAACAATTGTAATCTTATGGTTTATTTAGAACTTGGGAGGTATCCATTTCCATTGGTAAGAAAGTAAAGAATTATTAAATATTGGATTAAGTTAAAAAGGACTAATAATTGTATTTTGCAAGCGTGTTATAAAGATATGTTAGAGAATAAGGATAAATGGGTTTTAAACATAAAAAATAATTTATTTAGAATTGGCCTTGGTTACATAAGGGAAACAGAAATGAATGATGATATGTGTTACAATGTTGTTGATATATATAGACAAGAATGATGATATGTGTTACAATGTTGTTGATATATATAGACAAGAATGCAAAGAAAACGTAAGGAAATCTTCAAAGGGATATATCTATACTATCTTTATAACCAGTTTGATTTACAGTGTTACTTAAGAAAACAATTATCTAGAGAATATTTGAAAGAGATTACAAAATATCGGTTATCTGCTCATAATCTAAATATAGAAAAAGGTAGATATCAAAATATTGAGCGTAGTCTTAGAGTGTGTACTGTATGTAATTTAAATGATGTTGAAGATGAGTTTCATTTTATGTTTAAATGTCCATGTTATTCGGATTTGCGTATTACATTTTTGAACAAAGTACTATGTAAAAAAAACCCAGTATGTTTAAAATGATAAATCTATTTAATGTAATTAACACAAAAGAACTTGTCAATTTGGCCAAACATATAAAAGCGGCAAATGTAAGAAGAAACCAATTAACTTAGTTTTTACACTCTCCATACTGTTTGTACATTGCTGGTATTGTATTGTATGTATTGTATTGTATTGTATTGTATTGTCTGTAGATATTGTAAATATATCTCACTTTTGAAACCGATGGGTCAAAAGACCCAAGGTAATAAAGAACTTGAACTTGAACATACTAACTTCAGGAACCCCCACGGTGTCGTCTCACGTAGCCTACACTTGGTATTTTCCTATATACAGGTAAGGTGTTGGATGTATGCTAGGTGAGATTTGGTGTCAGTAGGATTTAATTACAGGTAAACTATAGTCTGTACTATAAAGTGTCTTACCATGTGAATATGAACGTATACATAGGATTGATTTTTGGTGTAAACTTTTATTTATTTATAAAATTGTTTCCACTTCATCTATTATAGTCTTCATCACAATAATAGGGAATATCAGATTAAATGTCCTAACTTTACATATTGTAACAATACAATACAATTTGTTTTGTTTAAGTGTCACATATCGATATACATTAAAACTACAGCAGATTTTACAAAAAGTAAAAGCTATTTCAAAATTTAAATCGATAAGTTATCGACATCAAGCCAAATCTGGCTTATGAGACACTAAAAGTCATTATCACACCTTAAAATAAGTAAAACCACCAGCACTGTACATAATTATATAAAGTTAAAACATAGACGTCTGTGATACATATGATATAAAGCAGCGTCTAAAGTCGATCTTGTAAAGGTGTAACTGGACGAGAATACCGACCGGTTTCGACTTTTAACTTAAGTTTGTTAACACGACATTCCCAACTTCTCCGTTTTCCTTTTGACCACTGATGTATTTTATAGACGTCTATCGTGAGCAGTTCCATTAATCCTTAACCAGAGCCTACAGACATCCACTTTCTGTTCCACGTCACAGGAACTCCAACCAAAATCGCCACTTGTGGCGACATTGGACGCATTTCTTCCGGTACCGAAGAAGTAGCGGCACCCTTTATTATTGTTTCTCTGGTCAAGGTTGTAACATCCTTATATCATTTTTAAATAAATTGGTCATGTAAGCTTGTTTTCAATGAATATTTCAAAAATATATAAGTTCAGCCCGAGTTACTAGTATTTCATTAATACAATGTAATCATTTAAAATGACAACGAAGGGTCATTTAACGTTAACTGTACATCATATTGTACACATTACTCCATTATTTGTGCAATATAATGGTAAATACATTTTAAAAGTAGTTTCATTAAAATATTATTATTCCGTCCATACCACATGCCTACGGTGCTATTAACCAAAACTTTATGACGGTATAAGGTACAGATTGTTTTCTTCAATTTTATCTTACGAAGTATATTCGTGTAGAGTATAGAATACATGTATGTCTCAGTAGATTAAATACTTCTTTGCATTCATTGTGACTGGAAGAAAAAGAAATGTTCCTTCAGAACAAAGACATTGTAAGGAATGTACCTCCACAGACATGAAAGATGAATTTCGCTTTCTGTTAATTTGTAGTAAATTTCAAAATCTAAGAGTGCGGTTTTCCGACTATGCAGTTGTTAAGTGTCAAAAATAGTAAACAGCTATGTATATTAAGGAAGTTTATCTTTAACTATCAGAACCTCTTAGTTGATTATATTGTGTATTATGTACATCATCTATACATCGTGTTTGTACATAGGGAGAAACAATTTTTTTTATTATTTTTCCTATCTACAGTGTATGTCCACACAAAATCAGCTTGAGATTGAAATTTTGCAGACATAATTATAAAATAAAGGAAATATAAAAACAACATTCAGTCAACTGTTATTGTATCAGTTGATTTATAGACAATTTGCAATACAGAATTTTAACCAATCTTTGCTATTAAGATTAGTTAATGAATCTTTACTTGATCAACAATAATTTAAGATTTTAATAACATGCAGGCGGCTAGTACTGTACCTGTTATAATATCTGTAAAATCGTTATTATTTCAGGTTAAATAAATGTATCCATTTTATTTGTTTTAATATTCATATTTCATCTACTTCCACATGTCATTATAATTCTTTACAAAGAAAATGGAATATTTCTCTGATTAAAGTAGACATAAGTTCTTAATTATAATATGTATTACAATACCATCTGCATCATTTAGAAACAGACTATAACCAAATTGTGATCAGGTGTGAAAATTGAAATGTATGCTAGGTGAGACTAGAAGCGGACGTATAACCAATCAATCAATCAATCAATCAATCAATCAATCGGTGAGACTAAACCTTGCCCACGCTGACATCCCTTTGATGTCATACCTGTACACAGGTATATGTGTCTTGGGCCTCCTGCTGTCAGCACTGGACACATGTGTTTCATACCCAAGTATGCTAAGGGAGTGGATCGAGATGATTTTCATTATTTAACCAAGATGTTAAATTATAACTTGTGTATGCTTCAAGTATAGGGAGAAACAAAAAATGTTTTAATCTCATAATTCAATTATATTTTCGAGATAAATGTAATCACAGATTAGATTATAAAAGTCCGTGATCTAATTTTGCATCGTTTGAAATGTCGACCTAACATAAGGAAGACACAATGTCGTTGATTTTTCATTAAACGGTGATACTAAAAATATTGACATTTAAAAACAGCAGACACCAACGTAGATGTTATTTTATAAACATTTTCACTGATATAATTCCGTATTTTTGGACCGTAGAGGTACCACAGTATATAACTTTTTTCAATATAAATATTGCGGCACAGAAACTGGTGCTGCTCATGACGACATGATTGAATACGTTCTCACTGTAGAGCAGAGACATATATAGTATATACGTCTCTGTGTAGAGCAGAGACATATATAGTATATACGTCTCTGTGTAGAGCAGAGACATATATAGTATATACGTCTCTGTGTAGAGCAGAGACATATATAGTATATACGTCTCTGTGTAGAGCAGAGACATATATAGTATATACGTCTCTGTGTAGAGCAGAGACATATATAGTATATACGTCTCTGTGTAGAGCAGAGACATATATAGTATATACGTCTCTGTGTAGAGTAAAGACATATATAGTATATACGTCTCTGTGTAGAGCAGAGACATATATAGTATATACGTCTCTGTGTAGAGTAAAGACATATATAGTAATGACGTCTCTGTGTAGAGTAAAGACATATATAGTATAGACGTCTCTATGTAGAGTAAAGACATATATAGTATATACGTCTCTGTGTAGAGTAAAGACATATATAGTAATG